TAAAAAAAATGTTATCTTTGTTTTTTAGATATACATATGATGGTCACACCAAAAAAAAAGATATACATATGATGATTTTGTTTTATTAGATTTCATTCTATATAAATTATTAATTTCGAAAGTATATTAAAATATTAAATATATTTATGTATATTCAAAATATATATGTTTACATATATTTAATTTTGAATTTAATTGTCCACTTTTTATGGTAAAAGATTATTATGATTTCCATAAATATAGATAGTTTTTGTTTCTGTTTTTGTTTTTTTTCTTATAATTATTATGATTTTAATATGATATGATAAAATATGTTGTATATTTCTGCATATTTTATGCTCTACAAAATTTGATTAGTCGTTTATTTCCTAATCTAAAATATTTTATTTTTATTTTTTTCCTAAACTATCATCTTTCTTTTTCATAAACTTATATAATTAATATTATATAATGATTTTTTATAAGTTTAGCATTATATAATGTTTTTCCATAAATTTTCCGTAAATCCTTAAATATATGATGATTTTTATTACATTTCATTAATTATATATTTAGTGTTTTCAAAAATTTTGGAAAGTATATAATTAATATTAAATATGTTTACATATGTTTAATTTTGAATTTAATTGTCCACTTTTTATGGTAACAAACTTAATATGGTTTCCATAAATATAGATAATTCATAATTTTGGTGTATTTTTTATTTATTTAACTATATTTTTTGCTGTCTTTAAATGTGTTTGGCAATAGGTTTGCAATCACATTTTTGTTAATATTTTTTTCTAGGTTTGTTTGGCAACAAAGACTAAAAATGATCCCCAATTAATAGTATAGATTCTATATGTTTATAATCTCAAAATGTAGTTTATGATTTGATAAAGAAATTATTTAATATTTGATAATAGTAATGATATGTAAATTTCCATGGATGAAGATATATTTTGTTAAGATTGTGTGAAATTAATAAGAAAAAAGAAGTTTAGAATAATCATTAACTAACTGACCAAATAAAAAATCATTAACTAATTGAATTAATGATAAATTTTGTAGATATCTTTTGTGCTATAATTGCTAGATTGCTTTTTGAATATGAATATTTTTTTAATGTGAAAATAAGAAATTTATGTGATCTAGAATGTTTATTCGTATGATTTTAGCAAACAAATATTTAATTATTGATTTATTTAAATTTTATTTATATTTTAAAATTGTATAATTTTTTAAAATTTGATGATATGATCAGTTATGTATATATACTATGTAGAATTTGATTAGTTGATTATTTCATATGCTAACATATTTTTTATCTTTTGATTTTTCTAAAAAAAATGTTATCTTTGTTTTTTTAGATATACATATGATGGTCACACCAAAAAAAAGATATACATATGATGATTTTGTTTTATTAGATTTCATTATATATATATTATTAATTTCAAAAGTATATTAAAATATTAAATATATTTATGTATATTCAAAATATATATGTTTACATATATTTAATTTTGAATTTAATTGTCCACTTTTTATGGTAAAAGATTATTATGATTTCCATAAATATATATAGTTTTTGTTTTTGTTTTTGTTTTTTTTATAATTATTATGATTTCAATATGATATGATAAAATATGTTGTATATTTCTGCATATTTTATGCTCTGCAAAATTTGATTAGTCGTTTATTTCCTAATCTAAAATATTTTATTTTTATTTTTTTCCTAAACTATCATCTTTCTTTTTCATAAACTTATATAATTAATATTATATAATGATTTTTTATAAGTTTAGCATTATATAATGTTTTTCCATAAATTTTCCGTAAATCCTTAAATATATGATGATTTTTATTACATTTCATTAATTATATATTTAGTGTTTTCAAAAATTTCGGAAAGTATATAATTAATATTAAATATGTTTACATATGTTTAATTTTGAATTTAATTGTCCACTTTTTATGGTAACAAACTTAATATGGTTTCCATAAATATAGATAATTCATAATTTTGGTGTATTTTTATTTATTTAACTATATTTTTTGCTGTCTTTAAATGTGTTTGGCAATAGGTTTGCAATCACATTTTTTCTAATATTTTTTTTTCAGGTTTGTTTGGCTACAAACACTAAAAATGATCCCCAATTAATAGTATAGATTTTTAGATATACATATGATGGTCACACCAAAAAAAAAGATATACATATGATGATTTTGTTTTATTAGATTTCATTCTATATAAATTATTAATTTCGAAAGTATATTAAAATATTAAATATATTTATGTATATTCAAAATATATATGTTTACATATATTTAATTTTGAATTTAATTGTCCACTTTTTATGGTAAAAGATTATTATGATTTCCATAAATATATATAGTTTTTGTTTTTGTTTTTGTTTTTTTTTATAATTATTATGATTTCAATATGATATGATAAAATATGTTGTATATTTCTGCATATTTTATGCTCTGCAAAATTTGATTAGTCGTTTATTTCCTAATCTAAAATATTTTATTTTTATTTTTTTCCTAAACTATCATCTTTCTTTTTCATAAACTTATATAATTAATATTATATAATGATTTTTTATAAGTTTAGCATTATATAATGTTTTTCCATAAATTTTCCGTAAATCCTTAAATATATGATGATTTTTATTACATTTCATTAATTATATATTTAGTGTTTTCAAAAATTTTGGAAAGTATATAATTAATATTAAATATGTTTACATATGTTTAATTTTGAATTTAATTGTCCACTTTTTATGGTAACAAACTTAATATGGTTTCCATAAATATAGATAATTCATAATTTTGGTGTATTTTTTTATTTATTTAACTATATTTTTTTGCTGTCTTTAAATGTGTTTGGCAATAGGTTTGCAATCACATTTTTTGTAATATTTTTTTTTCAGGTTTGTTTGGCAACAAAGACTAAAAATGATCCCCAATTAATAGTATAGATGTAATTTGAGGGAATTTTTCTTTTATACATCATGATTTTATTACCATTTTTTGTAAATAATTTAAGAATATCCATTTTTAGTTTAAATCAATTTGGTCAATTGGTTTTTGCTTGTTTTCTTAACTGGACTAGGTCAACTATTATCTCACCAACTGGCAAACAACTATACTTCAAAACCTTTTTTTGGTCAACTGAAATTTAAGGCCCAAACATAATATATTTTTTAGCTGGGCTGGCCATGACTGTAAAAGAATAAAAAATGGGATAAAAAAAAAATGGAAAAAAAGCTTTTTGTTTTCATTATAGGTTAAGAAATTAAAGTAGGAAAAAAGGAAATATATGAAATCATAATCTAACGGTTCAGATAAACCAACCCAGGCGTAAAAGGAAAATATAAATGAAAAAAGGAAAAGTCAACGAATGCCAGCTGGACAAGAGTCAAAGTTGTGTGACTACCGACTTTGTAATTTTAATCTTAACCGTCGAAACCTGACATAATAGAATCATGACCGTCAATATCTTTCATACCTTATCTATAAATACTGGTCCCCTCTTTCCCAGAACCACATCTTATATTCTTCTCTGATACGTCTCTACGCGTTAGCTCCGGTGATATTCTTCCTAAAGCGTCTTTGATTTTCTTAATCGATCAGCTTCTGGGGTTTTAAATATTTTCTAGGGTTTGATATCCAAATTGCATCGGTGGATTTTTGTATGTTCATGTGGTTTACTCTTGGTGATGGATCGATGCTTTGATCTCTTGGTGATGGCTTTGGTGGATTTGTTGTTTCTCTGTTGCGTCTCTGCGCTACGTCTTCAGGGGGTGCTCTTCCTCTGATTTTCGTTTTCTTACTTACGTCTCTTCGTCTCGCAGATGTTTTGGATGCCAATTATGATCCGATCATCTCTTTCGATTCTGTATTTTCACCACTTTTTGTTTCCTTGTCGTCATGTTGTTGTAGATCTTGGATGATGCTATGATCGGTGATTGGTTTTTTGGATCTTTGTCACCTGTTTTCTCTAGGCTACGTCTTAAATCGATTTTTTGATCCGATCCTCGATCTAGCTTCTGAATTTTTACCTTTTTCAATTTATGTTATATTTACTCCTCGTTCTATTTTTGATTTAGGAGGGTACTATGATTGATTGGTGATTGTGGAAGATACTAAGATCGACCGGTGATGGTTTGATTGATCGTTATATCTGTTTGATTTTTCTCCTCTTTCCCAATACTTTTTGTTTTTTTTGGCTTTTTCTACATAAGCGATATCTCTCTGTTTGACGCAGATCGTGGAGGCAATGGGATTGCTGTGTTGTAGATTTCTTCTCCCCTATCTGTTGGTTTCTTCTGATTTCTCGTGTTACATATTTTTTACTTTCCTTGTTACAATCACGATTACCTCTGTTCTATTCCGTCTCAGTTTATCTTGAAGGATATATTTGATCTGTCGTCGCTCCCTGATGTTACATCTTTGGCGGTTTTCCTTCTAATTTTTTTGGGTGAAATCTTTGGTTTAGATCTAAGAAGTTGAAGGCATTGTGGGAGGGAAGGCTTGGTTGAGTATGGTTTCGTGTTTCTGGTTAACTCACATCTATTCACCTTTTTGTTATTGGTTGTTTTATATTATTTTAGGCTTTTGTTGTTGGTTGATTATGATCTGTCCTGTGTGTCTTATTGTGTGTTTCCAGATTTCTACATCAGTCTCTTCTCTCTGTTTCTCTGCTGTCTTCACATATCCATATGAAAGATGACCTTGAATTACCTTCCTAATGAGTTTGTTCATTTACTCTTTTTATTTTTCCTTTGCAAGTAGTTTCTGTATTGAATGTTATTCGTTTGGGTATCTTTCAGCAATCTGTTGTCTCCACAGAGTTGTTATTGGATGTTTCAGGTTAACAGATCTTCTTAGCGATGTTAGCACTTATATTTTATGCTTACAAGTCTTTGTCTTCTATTTAAGGCAGTGAGTTCTAAAAAGAGAAGCGTCAGGTTACTATGTTTTTTTCCCCTTTATTTATGTTGGTAGTATGTTATCTCTCATGTTACATCTATTTTTAGTATTTGATCATACTCTCTTCATATGCTTTTGACGGTGGGTTTTTTATGTCAAATGGTCCCCTTCTTTGTAGGTATATATATCGAGTTTGAAAGATTTTTATCTAATGGTTCCCTGCTACCTCTCTGGCGGTTTTCTTATCTCCCATTGTCTTATTTTTAGGGTTTCTTATTTCCATATTACCTGATGTTTTTCTTTTTTAATTTTTGGAGAAGTTTCTATTTAGATTGTAGAAGTTCAAGGCATTGCGGGAGAAAAGGAAGGGTTGCATATTATATTGGTTTCTGGTTCCTTCACATCTATACAACTTTTTATCTATATATTGTTTAATTTAAGATTGATATTGCTGGTGAGGTATGATTTTTCCTGTGTCTGTTTCCCAGATTTTCTTCACAAACCACTTCATTCTGTTTCCGTTTACACAATCAGACTAAAGATGATCATACAGTCCTCCCAAACGAGTTTCTGGTTACTTCGCATATATACACTTTTTGCTATTGGTTGATTTATTCAATGTTGGCTATAGTTGGTTAGGTTTGATCGGTGCTCTACTCTGTGTTTTCCAGATTTTCAACATCAGTCACTTCTCTCAGAGTCTCTGCTGTGTCTCCACACATTCATATGAGAGGAGTTTGTTCTTATACTTTTCTTTTTAAAGTTTATTTTGTATTGAATGTCTTATGTCTATTAGATCTGCTAAGTCTGAGATCTCTGATGCAGAAGGCTGGTCATGTGTGTTCAGGTTTTTCGTTTTCTTTTCCTTGTGCATTCTTTCAGCAATATGATTGTTTCCATATACTTTGTTATTGGATGTTTCAGGTTAATAGTAATGTCTGCTGATCTTGCTAGTGATGTTAGCATCTATGTTTTATGATCTTTTGTTATAGGTTGTGAGGTTCTAAAAGAGAGAAACGTCCGGTTACTAACTGGTTTCTTTCCCCTTTCTTTCTGTTGGTCTTATCTTTTATGCTACATCTATGTTTAGAGTCTTATCATACTCTCATATTCTTGTGGCGTGGTTTTTTTTTTTCTGATGTGAAATTCTTCCTTTGTTTATAGGTATATATTTTGAGCTTGAAAGATGTGTTTGATCTTGTGCTTCATGTTACCTCTCTGGCGGTTTCTTATCTCCTTTTGTTTTATTTTTTTGGTTTCTTATTTCCCTATTACTTGATGTTTTCTTTTCTAATTTTGGAGAAAGGTTCAAGCATAATGAGAGGGAAAGATGGTTTGCCTATATCGTGTCTCTGGTTACTTTGCATCTACATACCTTTTTACCCATTCATTTTTTACTTAAAAGTTGGCTATTGTATTGTTGGTGAGGTATGATTTTTCCTGTGTCTCTGTTTCCCAGAATTTCTTCACAATTCACCTCACACACTCAGACTAAAGATGATCATAGATCCCTCCCAAACGAGTTTGTTCCTATGTCTTGTCCTTTTACCTAGTTTTTGTATTCAATGCTTTTATGTATCTGATGATTGCTAACTCTAATGTTTTTCCTGTCCTTTTCATCATAGATGTGTCTACTAAATTATTTTTTTGTATTGAACAGCTTCAAGTCTGAGTGCCTCTTATGCAGAAAGCTAGACATGTTGTTACTCAGGTTTTCTTGTTCCTCTTTTTTGGATTTTCTGCAATCTGTTGTTTCGTACATCCTGGATTTTGAAGTCTGTTGCACTTCCTGAGCTCTGGACTGTGATAGGGGGGAGATTCTTTTGATTTTTTGGTATGTTGAGAATGTGAAGGAGCCAGGATCTCTTATTGGTTTTTTTCGTGGTGTGCCTTTTTTTTTGTTTTGGTTACTATTATATTTGGTGGAGATGTGATCAGTTCCTGTCTGCTGCATCTTTTCTATATAGATGCTAATTGCTACTACTGGATGAAACTTATCATTGCATTGGAGTTTGATTTTGCAAAGGTTTTGGTCTGCTCGACTACACTCCCTGTAACTGTACATCATGAATTTGCCTAGTTATCTCTCAGTAGGGACAAATTTGGATCTTCCATATCTGGTAGATCCAGGTCAGGTGTTATGAGCTACTTTTCTTCTGAGGTTTGATTCTTAGGTTTCTTTGGCTTTTGATTATTGCGTCTTTGTTGATTTTTGAATTACTTCTGACTGTTATAGTTTACTGGGTATTAAAGAAAAGTAAGCTCCAACCTCCAATTGAAGGGTTCCATCTTTTCTTCTTTGTTTCTGCTTTGACGAGGCTATTTATTTCCTGAGAGTTGATGCTATTAATTTTGTTGTCTTCTGCTTCTCTCTGAGCGGAACTGTGCTACAGATTTTGAGGATCCAGTATATTTTACTTATGGGTTGGTCTGTTCTCCAGCAAGAGAAGGTAACATTGAAGGTTCTTTGAGTTCGCTCGTCAGTTATGCATAAAAACTTTTTGTTTTGGTGACTCTTCTGTTTCATGCTCTGGGATTTACCTGGACAGGATGGTTGAAAAACTCTGTAGGCTGACATATCTGAAGGTGTGGACGCTCAGAGTTTATACTTGTTCTATTGATTTTAAGATTTAGTCTTCTGGCCTTTTGATGATGATTCTCAGTTTTTCAGCAATATCTGGTTAATGTCTGAAGCTTTTGAAGATTTTCAGCTCTGTTTTTGTACAATACGTGGATTATAGGTTTCATCATATACCTCAACATTTATACATCGTATTTTGGTGGTCATAAAACTGCTAGTCTGCCACATCGAGTTATTTTGTAGGTCCACACTGATTGTTAGTAATGGTCATGGTGTATGTATTTTTGGAATCTGGGCTACATTTACAGATTTTAAACCATTATTGTGGAGTTGTTGCTCATATTCTCTTCAGTTTGGTATTTATTTAAGTGATTCTTGCTGGTTGTGTGACCTCATGGGGCCTGGCTCATAGCAGGCACATTGGTTTTGATGATATTCGTCTTTATTTCTGACTTCTGAGGTTTCTTTCTTCCTGGCTGGTTTTAATGGTTCTGAAACATTTGATAATGAAGTCCTCAATTGATTTTTGTGGGGGACACATGTGTTGTTTGCTTTCAGGTGAGGCTTAATATGCTTACTTCTGGTGGAGATTGATTAAATATGTTGTAGGATTGTTACCTCCAAATCGTAGTCCTTGGACATATTGGCTTGCAGGGAAAAACTCTCTGGCTAACACGAAAAATCTCCATTCTAGTTACTTTTGTTGAGATCTTACGATTGGGGAAGTGATGTTTCCTCAACTAATCATCTCGTGAACCTTAATATGCTCCGTCACACATTGAAGCCTATGTTAGGGTTGCAGTTTGTGAAGTTTTCATGGGAAAGTCTTTTGAGTTCACTGAAGGTGATTTTTATTCCAAAAAGAAAGATGTGTTTTCCTGTACGAGGCAGAATTTTTAAGAAGGGACAAGCGAGTGTTATGTTTGCAGGAAGAGACTAGACAAGTGAGTTTTGCTTAGGGATTTACTGGGACGATAAATATTTGATTATATAAGCTTTGTGTCTCATTGGTTGAAATGCACAACATTTAAACATTTTGTGTAGGAAGACAACTCTGAGAGGCTTACAATCTTCTACGTAGGGGGAAGTTAAAAGGTTATTGAAGTGTCTATCCCGTTTTAGTTTATATTCTTGTTACTTCATTTTTGAGGTGCTTAGTTGCCATTCCTTTCATTGGTTCATGTATTACTGAAGTGTATTCCGTTTCAGGTTTATATCCCTGTTACTTTCTTCACGTTTGCGGTTGTTATTTGCCTTGCCTAACACTTACCCGGAGATTTGACCAAACTCTCGTGGGGTCATGGCCTTTTAAGATTGTTAAGTATGAACTTCTTTGATGCTGAAGGGTCCCATGTGGTTATACAGTGTACAATGATACCAAAGGATGCTACTGATTGCCTGTTGTCAGCTGTTCATGTGAGGTTTCAACTTTGAGGTCTTTTTGTGTAGTGTTATTAGTTTAGTCAGGTAGTATATGAACAAACTGCTGGTGAAGAGGATGATTGTGGTATATTGCTGGATTGTTGTTCCTCGTCCTTGGTCTTAGGTTAAAGTTAGTGTTCAATGAAATCACTGATGTACCTTTTCTGTTTACCATAGAGTTGCTTAGATCAGGTATGGGACCGTTGATGTGGTTGCTTTGACTTGCCTCTACAATTGCAAAAATGATGTTTTCTCATTGTTCGGTTCTTAGAGGAACCTCATTTTGATTCGTCATGTTGTGATTGTGATGCAGTTGTTATCAAACATTGAAGCCCACGCTGGTGTTGCAGTTTCTGTAGTTTTCATGGGAAGCATTGTGATTGGAGTGTAGACGGGATTTTGTATATTATCTATTTTCCGAGAGAGTTGAAAAGTCTTGGATGTTTAAGATTCTATTTTGTAAATGTTAAAGATAATCGACTTTAGATTGCTGCATCTGTTAATGTTGAGAGGGTTGACGTTATATAATATAAATTATGATCGTTCATTTTTCTTTGGTTTGTTCTGGAGGAGAAGATTAATTGGTTGGTTTTGGCGCATCCTTGGGTTCTCTCTAATTATATCATTAGTATGTGTTGTTTGATATAGGTTACAGGATGCCGATGTTTCACTTGCACGAACAAAATCATTTGAGTGGCTTATAATCAAAGGTCTTACTGGTATTTAGGACCACGTTGATATGTATGGCGGTAGGAAGACGGTTCTCTCGATCGCAAAAAAGGAAAAATAAAATAAAAAGCATTGAATACATTGTTAATCAGGTTATTAGATTTCAATGATCCATAAATTAATCGTGTCGGTCAAAAGGTGAATGTCCGTGTGGACCCTGATAGAAATCAAGTCTCCGAAATCTGACTTTATGAGTTTCCTTGAACGACTATAGTACTGTATTTTCTTTTGCTGTATGGCTGCAGTTTTTTTCTTCGGTATTTTCTCTGTCCTTGTCGTCTGGTTGGGACTAGGACGTCTCCTTCACTTTCTTCTCAGGAGAGAAAAAGCAACGCAACTTTTACATCCTGTGACTTTCACAGGCGTTACTCCGGCGGCGGAAACATTGGCCTCATCCTCCTCGTCCCGGTCCTTGTGGAAGTACGATGTGTTTCTCAGCTTCAGGGGAACAGATGTACGCAAAGGATTCCTCAGTCATCTCTACAAAGCTCTCACCGACAAGGGGTTCCACACTTTCCGTGACGATACAGAACTCCAGCGTGGCAATTTCATCAGCCCGGCGCTCTTGGAAGCCATTGAACTGTCGAGATTCGCCGTCGTCGTGCTCTCTGAGAACTACGCGACTTCTCGCTGGTGTTTGCAAGAGCTTGTGCACATCACAGATTACGTGGAGAAGAAACGCCTCGAACTGATCCCCGTTTTCTTTGGCGTTGACCCTTCTCATGTGAAGAAACAATCTGGGAATTTCGCCAAGGCCTTTGCTGAGCACGACAAGAGACCTGATACAAAAACTGTGGAAACATGGAGAAAAGCCATGGCCAACATAGGATTGATCTCTGGCTGGGATTCCCGGAACTGGTGAGCACATTTAGATTCTCTGGCTACCAGCTTCTACTGACATTTACACAGATACAATTTCATTGTTTGAGAACTGAACATCTTGATTTAGGAACGAGGAGTCGAAGCTTATCGAAGAGCTTGTTCAAGATCTTTCCGACAGATTGTTCTCACCAGTGTCTTCCAGTTATACTGGTGAATTGATAGGAATGAGTACACACATGAGAAGTATATATCCTTTGATGAGCCTAGATCCTCATGATGTCCAAATGATCGGAATTTGGGGAAAGGGTGGTATAGGCAAAACCACCATCGCAAAATATGTCTATAAAGTCTTCTTGAGCGAGTTCGATGGTGCTTCCTTTTTAGAGAATGTGAAAAGAGACTTTAAACGGTATGGTCCATCACATTTACGTGAGAAAATCTTGTCAGAAATCTTCCGAAAGAAAGACATGAATTCATGGAATAGAGATTCCGATGTGATGATAGAACGATTACGTGGCAAAAGGATTCTTCTTATTCTTGATGATGTTGACGATATACAACAGCTAAACGAATTGGCTGGAAAACCTGACTGGTTTGGACCAGGAAGCAGAATCATTATCACCACTCGAGACAGACGTGTTCTAGAGCTGCATGATGTCGAACGTATCTATGAAGTGATGCCTCTGAGGACCACTCAAGCACTTCAGCTCTTTAGCAAGCATGCCTTCAAGCAACCTCGTCCATGTGAAGATTATAGAGAGCTCTCAATAGATGTTGTGAAGCAGCTTGGTGGTCTTCCATTAGCACTTCAACTCGTGGGAGGATCTCTATATCGCCGGGACCTAGAATTCTGGGAAGACAAACTGGATTTGCTGAGACATAACAGCGATAATTCACTGTTGAAGGGGTTAAGAGTAAGTTATGAGGCATTGGATGAGCTAGAAAAGAAGATCTTTCTTTACATTGCGCTTTGTTTCAACGGAGTAAGTATGGACAGAGTTAAAAAATTATTAGACCTGTTTTTCGTGTCTTCCAGGCGCAGAAAATTGCCCACCAGACCGAGTATTATAGCTCTGATGGAGAGGTGTATGATTAGCTTGTCAAAAAACACAAATCGATTGTGGGTTCATGACTTGCTCCAAGACATGGCTGAGGATATCATATGTGAAGGCAAAGATGAAAGGCCATGGAAACGTTTAATGCTGTGGGATTTTGAGGATATAAATCACGTTTTCTCCACCAATGTGGTAAGCTGATCGATCATCTTTATTAATTTAGCTCACTCTTATGTCTCATTTCTTGGATCTCGACAATTCAATGTTTATTTTATCTCTAGGGGGATGAATCAATTGAGGTGGAAAGCATATTTCTCGACATGTCTAATGGAAATGAGCTCAACATAACCCCTGAAATCTTTAGGAGGATGCCAAATCTCAAACTACTTAAATTTTATACCAATTCCAGCATTGGACAGAGCAGAACAAGGATGTTGGATGGCCTCGACTACCTCCCTACGCTGCGGTATCTTCGTTGGGATGCTTATAATCTCAAATCATTGCCATCTCAGTTTTGTATGACTTCTCTAGTTGAACTCAACCTCTCACGCAGCTCGATAGAAACAGTTTGGAATGGAACTCAGGTACCATTTTGATATGGTATCAACAGGAGCTTCTTCTTCTCCTCTTGAATAATATTGCTCATGCTTCTTCTCTTGTCATTATGGTGCAGGACCTTGCAAACTTACGGAGCCTAAACCTCACAAGCTGCAAGCACCTCACCGAGTTTCCAGACCTTTCAAAGGCGACTAATCTTGAGATTCTGAAACTCTCCAATTGTGATAACTTGGTGGAAATCCCCGAGTCCTCTCTTAGAAAACTCAACAAACTCGTCCACCTAAAACTGAGCAACTGCAAGCAACTAAGGAGCCTCCCAAACAACATCAACTTAAAATCCCTCAGATTTCTTCATCTGGACGGATGCACTAGCTTGGAAGAGTTCCCATTTATCTCAGACACTGTCGAGAAATTACTTCTGAACGAGACGACTATTCAACAAGTACCACCATCAATCGAACGCCTCTCTCGTCTCAGAGAGCTACGCCTCTCCAGCTGCAAGAGACTGATGAATCTCCCTGACAGCATCAAGAACCTGAAGTCTCTCACTGATCTTGGTCTCGCAAACTGTCCAAACGTAACGTCATTTCCAGTAGTCGGAACAAACATACAATGGTTGAATCTGAACAGAACAGCAATAGAAGCAGTGCCTTCAACAGCAGGGGGAAATACAGAGCTTCGTTATCTCAATATGTCTGGCTGTGAGAAGCTCATGAACCTTCCGCCAACGCTAAAGAAACTGGCACAACTCAAGTACTTGTATCTTCGTGGTTGCACAAATGTCACTGCGTCTCCTGAGCTCGCTGGTACCAACACAATGAAAGCACTGGACTTGAATGGAACATCAATAACAAATCAATTGGTTGACTCCAAGGGTGCAGAGCCTACTCGGTGTGAAGTACCTGTCATTAAAAGGTTCTTTATGAAACAAGTTCGAGAACATATCAGGAAGCGTAAATCCAACAGATGATAAAAGATCAAAACAGAGTCCTTTTGACCAACCAAATGGCTGCCAGCCTGCCACGTAAAGCTTTGGCTCTGACCATGGGGCAGGTTTCCAGAGCATGGCTTGAGCCTTGGGGCTAGATCTCTCTCTTTCTATATAAAATACGTGTTGTTCGTGAGATGTTAATCACATTACTCATAAAATAATGAAGTGTTTAGAGTGTGAACTGTTGTAAGTCTATGACTTTTTATTAGCCAATTCGATTTGTAATGATAATCCATGGAAAATAAATAATGACGCGGGCCAGTAAAACAATAGTCCATGATGGAGTTATGGTATATAGGAATTGGGCCCGTCAAAGTCCATATATTCATGGGTCTTAATTAATATATAGAGCCCACATGTTATCGGGATACACTACTTCTGTTAAAACCACGCGCATCAGTTGCGCGTATAGCGCGTGTGGTCAAAATGCCTGGACTATAACCCACCAAAAACGCTGTTTTTAACGAAAAGATGTCAAAAACTATTTTCTATTAGATCCCTGGCGCGTGAAATTAGGATGAACGTTTTGGTTCTAATTTATATCATAGTATCAAATCAGACGTTAATTTAAAATGCATACTTGTAAATTATATTAAATACAAGAAAATAATTTTAAAGTATACTTATATTTTATTTTTTTGATTGGACCGTAAACCGATGGATTCTTATCTAACTTTTAGTTAATTACTCTTCTTTTTCATTATAAATGATGTTTTACCCAATTTTTTTTATTTTACTATAAGTGATGTTTATAATTTCATACGCAAAAATTTAATATATTTAATATTTTTTGACCATTTACATTTTACATCATATTTTTAATTGGTTAAATTCATATTAGTTAATGATGTTTTTATGAAAAATAGGTAAATTATATGTTTTATTAATTAATGCACTAAAACCTTAAACATTACTTATAATAAAACAGAGGGAATATTAGGTAACTTTTTATTTAGTTTAAAAGGTAAATGATAAAATTTAAGAGTCTATTGAATGGTGAGTAATTTTAATTTTGTTATACACATATGGTTTTATGTAACACTCACTCTACATACCGCACGACCAAGGCCCTAACATCAATACATAAAGTTAAAATCTTCATATAATTTTTCTTCTATAATAGACAGATAATAAATCGTATTCTCTAATGACAAAGTGTCAAAGTTGATGTAGAATCATTAATTAATATTTGGTGAACCAGTCAAAGGTTTAGTTGGGTAACTAGAAACTTTTGGTAAAGTTTTCACTGTGGCAAATTTGTAGCTAAATGATTAAAAAAAATTAACGCACCCACTTTCTCGAAAAATTAAATAATGTAGGTTAGATGATTTTGTATCATAAAATCTAGAGATGTATGATATATAATTATAAAATCTACGGAAATTTGGGTGAAATTAAGCATATAAGTCTATGTCCTTACGGTACTTTGTAAGACGTGTAATGTTAGGATTTGTTTAATAATCAACGAGGTAAATTACTTATTGGATTCGAAGGAATGATGAAAGTTTGTGCACAAATCTAACCTGTCTACACGACATAACCCTCTACAGATTGTCAGTCTAACTCTTAACACTAGCCTAAACCGGACACTGTTAGAGGATTTATTTCAAGAAATATATTTAAAATAAAAAAAGAATAACCGACCACGGTGGGACTCGAACCCACAATCTCCCGCTCCGGAGGCGAGCGCCTTATCCATTAGGCCACGCGGTCTTATTGTTCTGTTTCAGTTGAGACCTTATATTACCGTGAAAAGTCCAAAGCTTGCGACTCCCACACGTTTCAAGGACCACAGCGTAACATCGTGTTTGATGGTATGTACTCGTAAACCATCCGGCTGAAAAAAACTTGTTTATTGTTGTTTCAAGATCTCTGTTTGAGAATCATAAACAATTTCTGTTTCTTAATTTTATTCGGCATATAACCACATTTTGTCATCTGACGAAGATGATGAATCCAACCAGAAAAAACAAACCCATGTTCCATAGATACAGTCCCCTTCTTCTTCTTGAGGGTTGGGGCAAATTTTAAAGCCAGCAAGTTTAATTTCTGTCTGTGGCTTGTGTAATCTTGTCGCTAGCCTTTACCGTGGAGACTTTCATGAAGATGATTCATCACCCTCTATGGGCAAATCTGGTTGTGTCGCCCATTCAGTCCACGACCCATCATAGACCGGTACGTCGGTTTTCCCCAACCGGTGAAGCCCCTAACACAGCAATTCACTTAGTCATTCTGCTCTCCATTTACATATAATCTCAAATAAGAAATGAAGTTACCATTGCCAGGATGCACGCTGTTACCCCAGTCCCACACGAGGCCATAATAGGCTTGTCCAGTGAGATATCTGCACCAAAAAGCCTTGTAATCTTACGACTGCTTTATATCAAATAAGATTGTGAACCTCATTCTTCAAGTGGAGATGAGGATGTAAATAGTTTACCTGCTTGTTCAAATCTCTTTTTTAGCTCTTCTGCTGGTAACAGTGTGTTAGAAGAATCAAACATCTGCAGAAAGAAGAAATTCATCACATTAACTCTGGGGAAAGATGCAGGGGATGCATGGGATGGAAAAAAATTCTCTATGGTGGCTTTACTTGAGGAAAAGGGACGCATTTGCTTCCAGGTATATGACCGCTTCTTATTCCCTTACGGGGTTCTGGAGCAGTACCATCAAACCTGTGTAAACCCCGTAAAATAATCAAAATTGCTAGATTGAGTATCAACTTAGTACAAAGGGAAAAAATTCTTAAATTCCTTGGCAAATCATTAGTCCACACAAGTAATAACTTATTAAATTATATTACCTGGCTTTGGAACGAGCGTCTATGTGTTGATAAGTCGGATCCTCCATATTGTTCTTGACCTGTAAATTCACCAAAGAGAGTCATGACATAAAATAAGAATCTGAAAAAGTTAGAATAACACAAACAAAAACTCAAAACAAGGTGCCTACCATCTACCAACCTACTGAAAATTATTGTAGAATTGATAATAACATAATCACAAACACAATTCTGAAAGATGGATATTAATATAGACCCAATTAGAGAACTTGAAGTGCGATCATCTTTAGGATTATCTTACTAAGATTCAAATTTATGGTCGATAGACAGAATGATAGAAGAAATAATGAAATCATATAACATTAAAGCCAAGACAAAACCATTCAGAAATGCCAACCTTATCAAGTGTCCACACTAGATGTGGCTGAAACTTTGTCTGAAAGGTTATCGGACTGACCTGTGCAAGCACGAGAAGATAATGATATAACAAAAAAACATATCTTTACTGCTCAAATCTCATCATGAATGGGAATGCAAACTGGAACAACTTACGGTTTGTCCTTGATAGATTTTCTCTATAGCCTCACTTGCGGCACTGGCTTTCAGAATAGCATCACCTGATGCGCTAGATTCAACATCATAACCTGAGGCACGCCATCTTGGTAGACCTCCATCGAGTACCCAAATTTTTTCATGTCCAAAAACTCGGAACATCCTATTTAAGGGTAAAATGAAGAAGCACATATCAATTCTAACAATACCTGAAAAAAGACACCGAACAAAGCAAAAGGATTTAAAGAACAAACGAGAACCATAACTCACCACCATACACGGGCTGCACTAAAGATCCCCTTTCCATCATAAACAACCACTTCATCTTTGTTATCAATTCCAAGAGCAGAACAACCAGCAGCAAAAGCTTCCTCAGAGGGCAACATATGAGGCAACTGTTACAAGTAGTTGATAAATCATACAATTCTTTAGATGGTTGTGTTACAAGCAGAGGCAAAGAGAAGTCTTAAACAAAACACATAATAACATACATTAACAGTAAAGAGTCCAGACTTTTCATTTGATCTTACAAAAACAGCTATATGCTGTATACCATATCTAGAAAATGGCAGCAAAGGAAGCTAATATATATTCAATTATTTATTAAAAAAAAAAAAAGATCAGTGTGAAGTGAGAACGTCAAAGTAAACTACACGGGTACATCGTCTGTAAAAAAAAGATGGTGATACTTACACTAGTTCTTCGATCTGATATTCCATCCAAATCAAAGAAGAGAGTGCGGGGAATATGAGCGACCTATAGGAGAGGGTCAGTTTAAGTTCGTCAGTATCAAGTAGTAAACTAACTCTACTACTTAAGAGCGCTTGCACTCATCCAGAACAAATACAGCACAAACATTTGTGAAATTCAAGAGCTTCTCTACTACTCTCACCTGATATTCTTGGATCGGATTTCTCTGTTCATCTGGCATGTACCATGAAGCATCCAAAACCTGAGCATAATCAAATCAGGTAAGGTTTAGTAAGGCAGACAAAGTTATAAAAAAATAAAAAGGCACCAAGGGGAGTCAGTCACCTTCAAATCAGGCTCTCTAAGATTAGCATGAAGCCAATCAACAGAAACAACAGGCTCACTGGTTGATATGGATGATGTGGAGTAACCGGCTTTTGTCCCAACTCCAGCCAAAGCCATGGCTCGACGAGCCCATGTGGTTGATTTATAGGCTGTAGAAGCAACACCTAGATGAGAGTAGAATGATCTCTTCTGCAATTACCACACAAACGCACAATCGGAACACCAACCAAAAGAGTCCGATAATCAGTCAAATTTCAAACTTAAATAAGAAAAGCATCGATTGACATAGACCTCATCAAAAATAATAAAATCACATTTCCGTATTCAACAGTTTCGAAACCCCACCAAAACTACTGTTTGTTTCGAAACCCCACCAAAACAATCCAGGAACTCTCAAACAGATGAACCACCAGAACCCAGCAGTTACGAAACGAATGCTAACGGATCGCGGATCAAATTCGATTTAGAGTTTCGACTTACACTGAGAAAGGCGGCGGAACTAAAGGTCGTTTGAGGAAGACGAGAAGAGAGAGGAGGAGTAATCAGGCGGTGACTAGCCGCCAAGAAACTTCTGGAGAAAAGGGTCGACGCCATATCACCTCAATTCTCTATGCAATGCAACTCAACACAGATGGCTTGGCTTCCAAAGACGCCAAAGTTATTTAAGCTGTCAGGTCAGATTGATTCTCTTCAACTACTACTATAAAAGCCAAAAAGGTTGCAGCTTTGCGAACGTTTTTATTATAAAAAAAAAAAAGAAGGATTTTGTCACTGCCGCCACGAACGGGGTCATGAAGAGAGACACGTCTAGGGCGTCTTTGGCCGTTTCACCAAAACGTGGTTCTTCTCGTTTTGTGTTTTGTTTGATACTTTTCCTATTCCGGTGGAACTGTAATTTTATTTTAAACCAAAACTGTATCGAAATGTGAACCGATTCTAAAGCCAAACCGTAAAGTAAAACGAACTGTTACTGTATATGTATATCTCAATTAAACGAAACTATAACCAAACCAAGGAAAAAGACGAGAGATTATAACTAGAAAGGAAACGCGTCAAACCAAAATCAAATGATGCATTATCTGAGCAACTCTTGGATAAGAAGAACACCATGAAATGCAATGTGGACCACCTTCTACAAAATTTGGAAGATCGAAAAATTCTACACAATGTTACATCTGTAATTAACAAATTCAGAAAACAAGAAAAAAATGGAATAGTGGCCAATGAAAAAGAGATTCAAAAGGGGAATCCTTTACGGATGTATTTCTTGGATTTCTCAGCCAAACGTTTCATGTTTTTGGATTTCTCATAAAACTCCATCAGCTCGGCTGCAATATCTTGTGAATGACACATTACATATACCTTCAAGAACCGTTCCTCGCTCATCCTCAGCGCTCTGAAAATGTTCACTTCTTTTATTAGTGGCTGTAGACGCATTTCCAAGACTCTCTTAACGAGATCCGCACGAGGTTTTAGATGAGTCTCCAGGTTGAGGAGAAGCAAACAAGGGTGCCTAATCACCGAATGAGCTGGAAGTTTCATTGAGGCTATGACGAAAGTCATGTTTCTCTGAACTTTCTCAACTGAAAGAGTGAGAAGAATTGGGCATTTTCCACACAGATGCCAAATCTCTTCTTCCGAGAACCCAAACTTTTCCAAGTTTCCAACTTTCTCTTGGATTGTTTCCATCCTCGAGACCCCGATGATGGCTGCAACATATTTAAACATCTTGGATTCTCTAGTGACCCCAGTTTTCCGAATGTATTCAAACTTCTCTTTGTTAAAGTTTGTTCTTGGGATCAACGTGGGTCGAGATATCAACATTGCGACAAGATCCTGTTGGCTAAAGCCCAGCCGTTTGTAGAACTCTATCGCGGGTTTGATCTTGTGATCGAGGTCATACAACATGAGCGAGGGATTCCGGATAATGGCTTTGCGCAACACCTCTTTTGACCCCAAAAACTCCATGAAGTAGTTGATTCTTTCATCAAGGACAAGGTGAATACGGCAGCTAAAGAACCTTGGCCGACAATTTAGAATCTTCACAAGGTCTGAAGATGTGATTCCCAAAGGCTTAAGAAGGCTTAACTTAAACTCTAGTTGAGAGACATTGGCTCTCTGCAAAGAAGGCCTACGAGTGAAAAGCTTTGATATTTCATCATCATCACAACCCCATCTCCGTAGAACTTGTAAAGGACTAAGAATCTCTCTCACTCTCTCTTTATCACTAACTTCTCCAACACAATTACCTTCTTTTCTGTGATTCAGTTTCTTAGACGACACAACCGACAGCCCAGAATCGTCAACGCATTTTTCAGCTTCATCCAGGCATAACGTCGAACACTTGGTGATAAAGGTCGCAGACAAGGGGATTCTGTAACGCGAACTAGTAAACACTAATCTGGTAACAGCTAAGAAATTTCTCTTGCCCAACGAATGCATTCGAAGGTCATAATCCAGAGATTAATAGCAACGGAGAAATAAAGGAGGAAATTTATCACCCAGAATCAAAAATGAATCTGCCTCAACAAAACAAGCAGTGGCATTTCACAACGTATGCTTGCTCCGTTCAATTTCCGAAAGAAATAGCTAGCAAAAGAAATAGCTAGGCAATACAACAACAAGTCTTCACATGAATGAGCGAAGAAACAAACTCCCACCGATGGAGAAAGATCCACAGTGACTTCGGACCAGGTTTGCCACGATTATGATTGTCCGAGTCGACCGCGGACGCGAGAGTGCGTGTGTTAATAAATAATAAATATAATGTGGTCCAAACCCAAAGTAAATATAAAATATTGGAGTGTTTTGTAAATTACGGCAAGTGTAATAAAGGCCATAAAACGACGTCGTTTCGTTATTCATCTTCTTTTTCATGTGAAGAAGAGTCTCTCTCTCTCTCTCAGTGCAACCCTTTGTGCAAGAAACCTAAAGCTTAAAATCGTCACTTGGTTCATCTCTTTCTCTCTTGCATGCATTTCGTTATCCATATATCAAGAGGTAATGATGCTATCTTCTGTTACTTTTTTTTTTATTGGATGCGTTTCTTTTCTCCAATCTTAACTGAAAACTGAAAATCTATTGAATTTTTTGGGTTATTAAAGATTAAATTTTGTTAGTCTCCAAGTTTGAGCTAGAGAGCTGATCGTTGAATTCGAGTTGATGCCCTTACGGTTCTTAATTCGGATTGTTATCTTATCTTTTTCATCTATTCAGCTCATCTCCGTTGAGACTCTCGTCCCCTTTTTTCCATCTAAGCTTTTGTCAGATTTAATCGCACCAGTGTACTTGCTCAGACTTTAGTTGTTCTACTAATTGGGTTTAGTTGTGTGAAATCAATGTGTGGGATCATTTGGATATTTGTGGTTTAGTCTGATTCAGCACTTCCATGTTGCAAAAAAAAAAAAACTGGTTAGAAAATGACAATGATTTTGGATTTTTACAGATTTCTTAAAGGTATCTTTGCAATGGGTGACAGTCAGTACTCTTTTTCTCTCACCACGTTCAGGTATCTATCTTACAAAATGCATCTCATTTTCTAGTAATTTGGATCTGTTTCTTCTGTGTTTAATTTCGCTTCTGGTTTATGGAACAGCCCTTCAGGGAAGCTGGTTCAGATAGAACATGCCTTAACAGCTGTCGGATCAGGCCAAACATCTCTGGGAATTAAAGGTTTTTTCGTTTAATTTCTAGAAAGAGATTTTAAGCAACTTGTACATATATATAATATAATCATGACCCTGGTTTACTTTCTTTCTGCAGCTTCAAACGGAGTTGTCATTGCAACAGAAAAGAAACTGCCCTCTATTCTTGTCGATGAAGCGTCTGTAAGTTGATAACCTCTTCCTTCTGTGCCTGCTTTTTCCTCCTAGGTTGCATAGTTTCAGTCACTCCTATGATACTAATGTTTTTATCTGATGTCTCTTTCAGGTTCAAAAGATTCAGCATTTGACTCCCAACATTGGAACTGTTTACAGGTTCCTCTCCACGGCTATCCCTACTTCTTTTGCTAATTGCGCATTTGATTTCATATTTTGAAAATTGGATTTATCAGACCTTCTTTTTATTTTGTTCTGGGTACTTAGTATCTCTCATTAAGTGCTAGTGCTATTGATGAAGATCAACCTTTTCCTTAGTTCCCTCATCAATTTTAATGCTAACTTTGGTATTGCCTTTTATGTAGTGGTATGGGTCCTGATTTTCGTGTTCTTGTGCGAAAGAGTAGGAAGCAGGCGGAGCAATATCTCCGATTGTACAAAGTAATCTTTATATCTTCTCTTTTTGTCTACCTTTTTTTCTTCGAGTATCGAGTAACACTGTATGACAAATCTTCAATCCTTGCTGTTTTGGATTTGATAATTCCAGTCGATATGAGTTTGCATATCCATAACCCTGTTTGCTCAGTTAATTCAACTTTTAAGGGGTTTTATTGTTGCAGGAACCCATCCCTGTTACTCAACTTGTAAGGGAAACTGCCACGGTGATGCAAGAGTTCACTCAGTCAGGGTAAGTACTATGTCTAGTGTATAAAAGAAAATTTATATGGTTACAATCTCCCATATGCTCAACAGGGTTAAAGGACAAGCTTAGAGATTGCAACTTTAAAGCTTTTAACCTTAGTTTTAAAGATCGATTTTGGCATGAAATAATGTTGTTAAAGAAAATCTGTATACATAAACTAGACTACTGAAACTTGCTTCTAATTTCAGTCTCCTTTTCCTGTTAATAGTGGTGTTAGGCCGTTTGGAGTTTCTCTACTGGTGGCTGGGTATGATGACAAGGGTCCACAACTGTATCAGGTATCTAGAACATTAAAGAAAATATAACCATCGTGCTAAAAGTTGAAGTAAAACCCATAAATCAGAAACATCTTGTTTCATGATTTTCATTTTTCACTAGGTGGATCCATCTGGCTCTTATTTCTCATGGAAAGCTTCGGCAATGGGAAAGAATGTTTCGAATGCAAAGACGTTTCTTGAAAAGAGGTGATAATAACTTACCATTTGTGATGATGAGTTTATGATCTTGGAAATATGTCATGTCATCTTTTCCTCTGATCAGGTACACAGAAGATATGGAACTTGATGATGCCATTCACACGGCAATATTGACATTGAAGGAAGGGTGAGAATGTTTAACCAACACTACTTTCTTTCTATATTTCGAAATTTCACAAATTGCCTAAAACCTCTTTGTGTCTTTCTTTCTCTTCACAGTTTTGAGGGAGAAATCTCGAGCAAAAACATTGAGATCGGCAAAATAGGTGCTGACAAAGTTTTCAGGTAAACGTTCAAGACTGCAAACTAATCATATCAAGAATCATTGTTGCTGCCATCGAAATCTGAAAGGAAAATGTTATATGCAGGGTACTAACACCAGCAGAAATTGATGATTACTTAGCTGAAGTCGAGTAATCTTTCACTTAACCGTGCAACAATCCCGGATTTGAATTTCAGCATTTTTTTTTTTTTTTTCTGGCTAGTTGCACAGAGTTATGGTTCTTGCTTCTGTAAAACTTTTGGAATTTGTTAAGACTCTTAACCCGATTTAGAATCTGTTTATTCACTCTTTTTGAAAGTCTCTTTTGTGAAAATCTAGTTTCATATAACCAATTACTTAAACCGAAGCTGCAGCTACAGTATGCTGCCAACTCCGTAATAATACACAATCCGCAGTAAATCAAAATCTTGAAAAGTGCAATAGCCGAATAAGAGGACAACTAAAAGCAGTAAACCTAAGCCGTTTTTGGTTTACATAAGGATTAATGAGATAGTCCTTCAGCAACTTTAATGGTATGTTTTTACTTCGACTGAAAACTGGCTCGACTACAAACAAGTCTCTCAACAGCAATCTATCTAACAAGTACTGCAACAAGAGGTCTAAGTAGAGCAACCAGAACGAGGCATCTCTGGTGCCTTTAAGCTGCGTATACATAAGAAGCAAGAAGAGAGGTAACCAACAACGCACACTAGAGGAAGTTATTGTTTCTTCACCTACGCTTGATCATCCAGTTATGAGCTGTTCGTGGGGCAGTGGAGATTCCCTCATAGTATCGAGACTCGAGTTTCCCTCTGTTCCATCTCTTGACAAAACGTGAGAACAATTCTCGTGCAGCTTCGGTAGTGAGATCATTAAAGTAAGTACGCTTTTCTTCTTTCAGCCACGTAGCGAACTCATTGTTCTTCGAGAAGTAGTCCTCGATTGATAGCTCTGGAATCCCCTCTTTCTTGAAGAAGAAGACGGAAAAGAAAAATATATTATATCAGAATCTCAATTAGGATAATCATCCGTTAAACATTACACAATAGGGTAAGGAGACATTTGTAATTAAACCATGCTTAAACAAAAGGAAGAGACCTGCAAAGAATCACAAACAGAGTCTCCAAAACAAATATAGTTTGACTGAAATATACTATCAGATGTCCTTTTTAATGAGTATAATATTTGACAGAGTAAGAGAGATAGAGAGAGCTCACTAGCTTGTTGTCACCTTCCACCTGTTTCTTTTTATGCTTATCATCCTTTGACTTTGCTGTAAAAATAAAACAATGTCAGTAGAAAGAAAAACAGATCATACTGAAAAGGAGAGACACATGATCTAGAACAAGTCATGCTGCTGATGAGAGATAAATAATCGTTTAGTTGTAACCAAAACAACATACTTTCGCCCAGCTTATAATGCTCCCCTAACAATAGGTTCGATCGACTAGAAACTCTTTCCTCCCTAGGAGAACACACAATTAGAACAAAGCTAAATTGATGCTTCGTAAATGGCATACAAGAAAAAGAAAACACCACTCACTAGATATATGCAGCAACAACAAAGTAACAGCTCAAACCAACAAGATGAAGAAGCAAAGACATGAATATTAGTATCATACCACAAACTTTATAACTAGACTATACATATATAAACAAGGTGATTCTAACCACCCATCGCATGCTATCACTACTGACAATCATGTCAGAAATCGGAAATGGCTTAAGAAATAACAACATACATGAACTCGATTTGTGGTGCTTGTGAGATTTCTTCTCCTTCTTCTTCTTGTCACTTCTCCTACTTGTCCTTTCATCGTCTTTCTCCGTTCCTCGATGCCTTTTAACAACTTTCTCTTCGTCTGTCCATTAATAAGAACTACAATTTCAACATACAGTCTCTCAATCATGTCATCGTCCACATTTTCAAAGTTCAAATCAGAACCGGGAACACGAATGAATAGCTATGATGCTCGTAATTTACACGAATGGATAAATCACTAACACTGAAAAATAAGAAAACGATAGGAAAGAAGAACCATACAATCGGAAGACGAAGGATCATCTTGGCTCCGACCTCTGCTTCTCTTCTTCTCCTTGGGGCTCCGTTCGCTTCCCATGATTTTTTTTTTTTTTGTTCCGACTCACTTTAGCGACCAGTGAATGGGCAACATATTTATTTGTTTGTTTGGGCCCTAAGACCAGGATTCAGAATTCCCGGGTCGGGTCTCGATGCTAAAATTTTCATTTTAACCCCCGTACCGTTTTCTTATTTTGAATCTCACCCCCACTGTTTTATTAGTGCCTAATAAATTAGTAACAAATGTATTTTTCGACTCCAGAATTATCAGAGTTATATAATAAATTAGTTTCATATGTTGTTATCGGAACAGCACTTACAAGCAAAATTATTAACAATGCATTTGGTCTACAAAGACCAGAGACTGCAATTTCTTGAAGATGGTCTCAACGGAGCTAAACTCCAACTCAAAACCATAGCTCCGACCACCATACTCTACGTAGAGAAACTTTGTCCGACTATCTTCCAGCGGCCGCGAAGGCAGAACCTTAGACATATCTGGAAACTCTGGAGACGGTGGAAGAGGCAAATCTCTCTTCTTGAGAGAATAGTACACATCGGCTAACAGAATCCAAATTAGATCAGGATCAATGCAAGCCAAACCTCTCAACGCATTCAAAGCCGCTTCTCTTAAGCCAGTTACGCCGCTGCAAGCGATCCCAACGACCAGTCCCGCAACTTTTTTCAAGACTGCATCTAACGCTGAAGCACTGCGTTTGTCTCTAGAAATCTCTGCAATCATGTCGAGAAGTGCAGCCTGCACTTTCAAGCTGGAAACTTCAGCAATCAAAGAAGACGACTCGGGAACAGTTCTGTAAGGAAGCCGGAGAGCCGATTTGCTTTCGTCCCGGAGGTTCTTTGGCGTCATAATGTAGAATGGAGATGTTGTTAAAAGCTTCCAAAATTCCGGTCCATCGTTGCGGAAACGACGTGAGAAAAAATCTCCTCCAGATGTTTGAATGACTCGGCTTATCACGGTTAAGCATCTGCGCACAGCCTGTGGAAAAAAAAACCCATTAAATCTATAAATAAAATCAGAAGAGGAAGAGATAGAGAATGTACCACGGGATTTCTGTTTCGTATGCAAGCAACACAGAAAGGCCAGATTTTGTTGATAGCGGGTAAAAGCCGGTTTTCGACTGCTCCATCGTCTGTAGCATTCATGTAGTCTTTAAGCTGATAGAGTGAAGCAAACTCAATGACTTCTTCAATTGTTTCCTTGGTTTCTGTCTCAGCTCGATAAGCTTCCTCGACCTTAGCCAGTGCCACTACTCCTTCCTGTATAATTGAAAGTTACGATTTTAGTTCAGTTGCGGAAATGTCCGAGAGAGAGCTCAACAAAAATTAATCCAATGGCAATGTACCTCAATTATATCGAGGGAAACCAAGCATGATACTTGATTTGATGATGCAAGGAGAGGCGTTGCTGCAACTAAACACGAAGAGGCGATCGATCCAACTGTGTGTCTGTATCGCTTAAAACGATTCAATTCGAGCAGTATGTTTTCCCATTCATCCTCGTCATTAACTTTATTGTCAGAATCTGAACCTCTCTCTTGCCTTGATGTTATCGCATCAGATGCTTTGGTCTTAACATGATCACTATATGACTGGGCTTGATCTGGTAATAGGCAAGCCTCGTTCGTAGATGCTTTTACAATCTCAGCAACAGCCTACAAAAAGTACCAACAAAGGTTGTGAGGTTTCTTAGACCAAGAAAACAAATTAGTTTTAAAAGACTACAAGAGAAAAAATTGAAAGATTGGATCTACCTTCAAGAAGGGTGAAGTTAGATTTGGATGCTGTTGTCTACCAACAATTTCTAGTTCCTGGGAAACCAATCGCATCTGCAAATCCCCCAAAACGGAAAAAAAGTTCTTTAACGCACTGATTACAAATGAACATCAAACAAACGCAATGTTAAATGAAGGAAAAAACTGTTCACTACAAATGGCCTTACCGGTTCCTCCAATAAAGGCAGTATATCATGGGCAACTCCGATATAGGAAAGCATAGCAGCAAGAACATTTGGAACACCAGGATTAAGATCCAAGTGGCGCAGCTGACGACAAATAGAGTCAACAACATAATCCGCATTTGCAACAACCAGATACCCAACCTGCAAAACAAACAAACAAAAAACAGGAAGATTCTGATTTCAGAAAGGGTACTTTGATGTGATTATACACTCCAATTACATTATCATAAATTCTCACCGTGGGATGGCCAGAGGTGGCAGCAAGAAGACGTAAGACAGCATCTGAAGCATTTCTAACTTGGAAGCTGGAGCAGGTAAGACTCTCAAGCAGAAGGTAAAGCGAAGAGTGAAGAAACCCACTTGAAGCAAAATCTTTCCCGAGACACAAGGAAAACACACCTACTCCTTCTATTATAACTTGGTGTAGCATTGCACAGTCTCTTAAGAAATGCAGACTAATATGTTGAACATTGGTATCGGTTTGCCCGGGAATGGTCTTTTGATCCACAGGGAGATCCCACACTTCAGAAGATTGGTATTCATGCAAGATCTTACCAACACAATCAACCAGATGACTTTTTGCACGTTTGTTCCATGAGATTTTCCAGGAAAGTTTGTCACCACCCTTTCTCGACTTCTGAAGCAGTCTTGCGAGAGCATCAGTTGCTTGATCCGTTGAACCAAAAATCATCTCATTCAGTATACAAGCAGCAGTTGCCGCCTGGCGAACTAACTGTCCTGAACCAGTTCGATTACACCAAGATTGCCAGTCTTCTCCATTATACTCCTTTACACGAACATCTGAAACAAGTTTACGAAAAACCCCCAGAGGAATATCCAGGATGACTGCTAAATGCCCTTCATTTTTAAATCCTAGCAAACACAAACACAAGGAGATCATTTACTATCAGTAACCAACTCATCTATAAGTTAACTGCAGGGTAATTTTCAGAAACAAATGGTTTCAAAGGAATTTGAAATGACCTGCCATTAAGGATAAACCTACAAGTCTAAGGATTCCAGCAAGCATTTCATAGAGCTTCTGGCTACCAACATGAGAGAACCACGGAGGCATGCGAGGTAACATATAGCTAGTGGGCGACGATATCTCTAATTTTACTTGATCTGATTCAGTGATATTTGGAACTGTACGGTTGTATCTGGTCTCCCGAAACCCCACTTTTAATTCTGTGATTGAAGGGAGGTAACCTGTCGATGATGAAGGCCTTTCTGCGATGAGTTTCTCAAGAGAACCGGTGAATGCTGAATTATGGCTCAGACAGAGAGAAAATATATCCAGGAATCTGCTGGCTGTTATCTACATAACAGAATGCCAAGAACTAATCATATATCGCAAGCCATTATTAGACCATGGTTGTTTTGGAACTAGATTTTTGCTGATAGAAGAAAGAAGCGGCACCAAACCTATGAGCGTGTCAAGAAAGAATACATACGGGAGACTGAAGATGATTCGCCAAAAACTGCGGACCAGAATAATAAGTGATGACAAGTAACTGCTTCACCACCGAAAGTGCAGGCAATTCTTCATTCCCAAGAACCACTTTTGGAAGCCTCTCAAGCAGTCTGTTTTCATAAACAAGCCCCAAAAGAAGAATAAAACACATTAAGTGACCTGGTTACAAAAGAAAGAAACAATATAACAACAAACAAACAATACCTGCTAAAGATCTTGATTATATCACTCTCTATGTGGTGATATGTACGTTCGGAGAATAAATGATCAAGAAATTCCTGAGCTGCTACAGAAACTTCATCGGAGTCATCAACAGCCAGAGTACATACGCATTCCTGCATCATTATAAGAAATATATCTAGCGCCAAAATCCTTGGAAAATAAATATCAAATATCCAAGATCATGTGTTGTTATTAGTTATGAACCTACCAACATCTCTAATCTAGCACCCTTCAGGGAACAAGAGCTCTTAGATAGCAATCCACGTATTGCTGCTAGAAATCCCCATCGTATTTTTCCGGCTGGGTGAATAAGAATCTGAAACCAATTAAGACATCACCATTAAGAAAAAACAGTTACAAAAGATTTGGGATAAAAGTGTTGAACGTAGCACTAGAAGAAATAGCATACATGAGGAAATGTCTCACACAGCAGCTTATTCACGTGAGAAGTAGTGGTATCTAACCATTCCTTTGTACGTTCAACATGAAAGGAATCTTGACTCGTATTCAGATTCAATTTTGCAGGTACATTGACGGTAACGATGTCTTGGTTTGTAATTTCTGTCAGCTCGTCGCTCTGCCCTTGAAATTTTGTTGTCAGAGAACGAAGTTTGCCCAAAATTGAGTGTGCAGATTCATGCCTATGCACCTTAGTATCATCATCAGAAATGCCAAGAGCCAATGAGTTAGCCTCATCTTCAAGGACTATCATAAGAAACTCGGCTAAACTTCTAAGTGCTTGGTCCAATGCATCAACACTTCCTGCAGCTCCACTTATCATTGCTCTCGAAACATGCAGCACTTTGGCAATTTGACTAACAACACCAGGTAGAAAAAAGGCCAGCGCATCAGCAGTACCAATCTACAACAAGCATTATGTTCACATTAGGAACCATAAAATAGTCCAGAAGATGTTTTCCCCCAAAACGGTTCCTATTTTAATTTTTAAGAATTTTAATAGTAACCTTAGCCACAAGTATCCGTAAAGCCATAAAGGCTTCAACTCGAAGATTTGCACTTCCTCGATGTCCTCGAGAAGCCTCAGCATCAGCCACCTGTAGGCAGTGATAAAAATTGATTTTACTTTAGAGTGTAGACAACTACAAAGACTCCATAGGAAAGAGAAAGGAAAGCAGAGGGAGAAAAGAGTGTTACTTTGAGGAGGATGGAAAGCCAATGACCCACAGCAGCCAAAGCAGAGTGAGACTGAAGAAATGCAAGCAAGCATTCTCGTGTTTCAAAATCATACTGAAAAGACTCTGAAACTTGAGTTTGATAATCTCTCATATCTGACAGTTGAGGCAGGCCAACAGTGAGCTTACATGAGCAAGAATCATCAGAGCATGGAAGCAGGCCAGAGATCATCGCCCGGAAACATCTGACGATTCCTTCACGAAACTCTTCAGCAGCCTCGGATGGGGATAAAATAGCACCACTAGTTAACTTCTTCATAGTTACAACCATCTATAGGAGAAATTTTCAACAAGCATTGTATTAAAACTAAGCTGAGAATATGTTATTAAAACTAAAGTAAGTGAGAATTCAAAACCACTTCACCTGATCAATGGATCCAATGTAACATTTCTTTAGAAGTTCCTCAAGACAATAGATTACACCTTCCGCCACTTTATCACTGACTCTATACGGTGTAGCTGGAAATTCCTCAAGCTGATTTTTCCCCTGACTTCTGCAAGCAACTGCGGCGTCTAACAGAAGAAGCAATGGAAACAAAGTGTAGCTGAAACGTACATCAAATAAAGCAGTTCCAACTTATTAGAACATTGAAAAATATAAACTCTCTATTAAACCTGAAAATTGAATTGCTCATGTATAGAAGATAAACAGATGCGAGAAAAGTGAGCAACCAAAAAAAAAAACGGGGATGTGGGGAATAATTACTTGAAGAAGGACTGGAGAGTGGATGGAGGAGTACGGCGGAGGAGGTGGAGCAAAGCAGGGATCGTGGCCGGATCCTTTTGAGGGTTTTGCGAGAGGTTTATGAGCTCCAAGCAGAGAACTTTCAGTTGTGCAAAGACGCCTTCTCTCTCATCCACGTCTTCTCCATCGGTTTCACGGCGGATGACGACGGACTTTTCCATTCAGTCCAATCAAATTATACAAAACCACCAAACAGAGAGCGAGAGATGGAACCGCGAAACTTAAGTCAATTCTTGTAGCAGAAAACAGGGATGGAGTAGTGACTATGACCTGACCCGACCCGACCCGACCGGTCAAAACTGTATCAAGTCACGGTGGCACAAATTGCCGGAAAATAAAGACCCGGGACTTTTGCTCCTTTAGGTAGGGTTTTAAGAAATAACGCAAAGTTAACCTGATATTTATACATTATTACAAAATTGACCTGATATTTGTTAAGAATTGTAAACAAAACCTGTTACATAATTATAAAATAGACCTGATATTTGTATGGAATCTTCAAAACAGGCCTAAAATCTTATACAGTTGGCCAAAAACAAACCAACATAAAAACCCCAATCTTCTGAAACGATCGTATAGGATAAACTGATAGAGAGCTTGAAAGTAAAAAGTTTATTATCTTCCCTAAATCATGTTTCTTCTATGTCAAGTAAACTAAGATCTATATTCCTCTCTTTCTTTCTTTTTTGTCTATCTCCATTAAATTTCAGGAAAGATTTCAAAACATACATAGATGCATCATTGTTGTTTCAAACTTGTTATGTGGAAAAAGGAACCTTGCTTGCTTTACTGTATAATTTACTTAGTTATTCAGCAACTAGTCTTCTTGTTCTGTTGTTAGATGATGGAGGTATTTCAAACCAATCCTACCCAACAATATCCTTCTTCAAATAGATTGACTACCATAATTTCAATACGAAGCTATCAGTCAATTAATCTTCCAGATTCTATCAAAGAATCTTTCAGATAGTTTAGTCTCAAGCTTTAGTAATTGACCAACTCTGTTTTTATCTACAGGCTACTAAAAAATGTCAAATACATTTTTTTCTCTACTATACCTACCTTTCCATTAAATAAGTATTTATTTTCTTGGTCATGGATGAAAATAAAACTTACAAAAATAAAAAACAGCCTTTTGGTTTCATTTAATGTATCATGAGCTCGTAGTTCTTCAGTAGTGATGATGATGACTCTTCTTTATTGTCATGTGTCCTCTGTTGTTGACCATCATCATCTTCTAACCCGAGTTCGCTTTCCAGGTGCTTGAACCATTTCTTAACCTCATCCTCATCAGACTCTTCCTCTGGTCGTGAAGCTGAGCTGAACTCATTTGCAGCGGACTGTTGAAACGAGTTTGAAGCATCTAAGTAACTCCAAATGTCAGGATCTGGCTCGAAAGGGATCTCCAGCAGATCGGGTTTGTCTACCTCTTGAATAATGTCGTTAAAGTCGCTATAAGCTTCTTCTATGTACTCAAACGTCATGCCTATCTTTGGATCATCTTCCTGGATTGAATGGTTGGAACCACCGGAAGACACAGATGTAGACAAGGCATTCCTCGTTGTTCTGTTCAAAGAAACCTCTCCTCGAGAAACAGAGTCACTTGAACAAGGTGATGAATTAGCTGGCTCGTCTGCAGTATGATCGGTTCCCGAGCTCTGAACCAATCTTTTCTTTAGGTGGGTGTGCCACACATTCTTGATTTCGTTATCTGTTCTACCTGGAAGCTGAGAAGCTATTTTCGACCACCTGATCAAAAAATGCAGAAAGCTTATTAGTGTCCATATCAAAACCACCCCATGAGCAACAACAACAACAACAAAAAAAACACTAATAAAAAGGCAAGTGATGAATATTTAGTTACTTGTTTCCATAGTTTTGGTGGAGCTTGATGATGGTTGCTTCCTCCTCTGCAGTGAAGTTGCCACGCTTCAGATCTGGCCTGAGGTAGTTGATCCACCTCAGACGACAACTCTTCCCACACCGCAATAGCCCTTCATATATAATTAATTATACCCATTCAGAATCATAAAAGAAGGAAGGCTTAGCTTTGATTATATGATGATCCATTAATAAAGAAAAGGAACACGATAGCAACAGCATACCAGATTGTTTGGGAAGAGATCTCCAGTTCTCATGGCCAAACTTTTGAATGAAAGAGATGAGTTTCAAATCTTCTTCTGGGCTCCATGGACCTCTCTTCACTTTGGTCTTGTCACAACAAGGTGCTCTTCCTTTCCCCATTCTCTCTCCCTCTCTCCTCTTTCTATTTTCTGTATCTATATATATATATATATATATATATATATATATAACTTTAATAGTATAGTATCACTCAGTATTGAGATTCACCTTTTCGTTACCGAATATATATATAAGTGGTTCTGTTTTATATATACACGAGAGGTTAAGAGAAGAGTGTGTGATCAGATCGATCTTGGAAGAGTGAGAATGTAAACAGAGGAACTGATAAATGTCAAATCAGATTTGTTGAGTGGGAAAAGGTTGTCTGTGGTATGGTTGATTATTTGGTATGATTCCATTTTCTCATATTTTTACTTGATTTGGCATCCACATGATGCATGCAACTTTTAATCTTTTCTTTTAACAGCGATGCTTGTATATATATTTCACAATTGTTTCATCACTTTTGTATTTTCTTCCTTTTTCGACACCAAAATTCATTATATTATCACCAAAACTAGCGTCTCGTATAAAACTTTATTTTCAAATGTGACATATGCAAAATTGTAGTATGTCGACAAGTGTAATTATATTAAAATGTTCTTACAAAACTACAGCCGGAATGAATGATGATAATAAAGTTACGTATCAACTAATTAGAATATAAATATTTGAAATCACAGGTGGAGTCATTAATCTACTATATATATAATAGTTACAAAGTAGCAAAATATTAGGTGGTGTTTTTGACTAAATGAGAATCTAAAAGCTGCAACTTGTTAATTAAGAACTAGATTAAGGTTAATTATATATATACACTGGAATTGATTATGTTGTTTATTTGTGTCTCCTCTAATCAGACTCTATTATGTACAATTACCAACTTTTGAATATAATAGAGATATCCCGTGAGCATGCAATGGGAGATACAGTATAACACGAGAAAAATGAACTCTCAGTAACATAATGCTCTTTTTGTTTATAACGCAGTCACTCCATACGTCATGACATGGAATATACTCGTTTATTTATTTATTTTTGTCAACAGTCGACATTAAAACTAAATGAAATTGTTTCAACTTTTGATATATGTACAAAGAAAATGGACGTTTAAAATTTTGTAATCCTTAAACAGAACATTTGAAATGAGAGTCAGAAAAAATAAAGAAACCTTGAAAAAAGGTAATATCTAATCGCATCCGAAAACACCAAAAAAGCTGAAGGACTAGTATGCTCACACCATACATAGTGCACGAACGAACTCACCAAACTGGAAGACTAAAAGAGAGTAGTAGTGGAGGAGGAGGTCAAAGACTTACGTCTTTTTTGACTTTTTTTTTGTTTCTTAATGTTTGGTGGGTTTGGTGTTGTTGTTGGCACTTGGCTACGTTAATTACTTAATTTCACCAAACCTTCATTACTTTATTAATTTCCCTGTACCATCCAAATCCAAAAATTATTAATTACGATATATTTATATCCAAGCCACCACACTATATATAATATATATACTACGCTCCATACATTTTCTTGGAGTATCAACTATGGAAAGTAATGGAGAATTTAATTTGAACTAAAATACGGAACACTTTTTTAACGTTAATTATTAAGAAGAATAAAGGTGGGAAATAAATCCGTTTTTCAATATTGAGAAAACAATGTTTTTTTTTCTTTTTTTTAACTAGTGTAAATTTTGAAGAATTAGTAAGTTTGGCGAATTAAAAATGTTTAAGTAGAAAAGTATATATGTCGATAAAAGTCACATATATAGGGGTCGACGACATATATAAAAAAAAATGACGACGATCTAATTCGTTTTGCGATTTTATACGTCTCTCTTGGTCTTGGTAATGAGAAGGTTGGTGAACAAAACAACTATGAGTGGGAAAACTTTATGAAGAAAATAAAAGGAAAACAATGAGTGGAAACAAAAATAATATGAAAAAATATATATATATTTCAACGTCCCTATGGAGTATGGACCTTATCGAAACGATATAATTTGGCATAAAAGTAAAAATATACATAAATTATGATGAAGGCACACATGTTGGTACTGGCAATATTACATACGTCAAGATCAGTTTTGAGTATACTGACTTTAAAGTTAGATTTTAGTTAATGGAATAAAAGCTTCTGTGTCTCTGTACTCTGCTCTTGTTGTATTGTGTGTGAAACCATACCAGGGATATGTACGTATATATATATATGTGTGTATTTTATTTGTTCTTGATATCGACATAACATGGATATAAATGTTTAATTCGACGAGTTTTCGTGAGTTATTTATGTATAGTTTTGCCTTCAGATTATAATTATATAGGTGCTTTGTTTTTGCGTTTTGTTAATTGTATAGGACGTGAAAGAACAACGTCTTATTCAATCAAACCAAATTATCGAAGATAAAAACAATCAAGCTCATGATGATGCGCCAATAAATTAAAAGATGATAAACAACCATAATATTTTGCAAGAGATGAGCTAGAAGTTTAAATTTATATTAACAATACGATATACTATAAGATAAAACAAGTAAAATTCAAAAGGGATGACCTAAAAAACGAAGAAGAAGAGTTTTCCAAGTAGAAATTGATAATTATGTTGAACTAGACATTTTATCAAGAGACCAAATAAGACACCTAATCCTGGGAAAATAATGAGATATCAAACAATATTATCCATCGTTGGGTTGGTATGGGGTAGGACATATACACTTAACAGTGATGGTTACTTTTGTTTTTCTTCTTGATCACCTAACTAAATCACTCATTAGGTCCAAGCACAGAGCTAATAATTCCATAATTGAATATAATAACGCCATAAAATTCACGCATTAGATTGTACTATATCTCATGACACCAACAAAAACATAAAAAGGTAAGCCGGTAAAATCAATGATTACGCATGCATGACGCACATGTAGGATTTGTATTATGCGAATAGAATATATATATATATATACAATGTATTCCAACATATATTATGTTGTTTAATATTTTAAACCTTTTTATTTTCTAATAACCGAAAGATCACAACAATGGATACAAAAATACCATATATATATATATATATATACTGTATATATATTTAAATAACCATTACAAATTTACAAAATAAACAAATACTTGAAGTCTAGTAGTAAGTCATGCCTGTTAACCAAAAAAAAAAAAAAGTCTCATAACTTCGCAAGCCATTCGTCACTACTACTATATTACTATATATACGATTGATACATTTCTGATTTATTATCACATTATCTGGTAAGTAACTATTCCATTTACAGTATAGTAACAGCAGTAATTATAGTAATCCACATCTCATGAACGTGTTATTTAATATTTTGATGCTAACAAAATCTAATAAAAGCCTTTCGTTTCAAAACAGACTAATGGAGTACTTTTGATGTCGATTTAGATGGGCCGGATTTTATAGATACTGGGCTCAGTATACTCTAAACGGCCTGCCTATTTCGAATCATATATTTAACACGTCACTGCATCCAAATATATATATATTTAACGCCGCATGAACAGTATATATTTCGGGTAATTTACTAATAAAATCATATTAATGTATAATAGTTCTATTACATTAAATAGTTTACATAGTTTTGTCATTTAAAACGTTTATTATAATAGTAGTTAAAAAAAAAAAGAAGAGTAAAGTTCGGAGTATTTTATCTTATAAAATTATTACATTTATATATATATATATATATATATATTTTAAATACATTAAATATTTCCACACTTGAGGATAAATGTAATTTAGAAAACAGGAAATGGACTGGAGGATGAGAAGAGAGTAATGGCATGGGAATTTAAGGTTTTGAATTAATATATATATGCATTTAAATACATATTAATAGTATCATTTAAGTTAGAATTGAATAACCCCACACCAATCTTCCATTAAAAATGCATTAAAACCCCCCAAGACCAGTCTCACTGGCATGCCATGAATATACACTAGTAATAATAAATACTACTCGTACCAAATTTTTAATTATTCACTGTATAGTAATATATTTGGTCGTACGGTTACACATTTAGGGCTAGCCGTCTTATTAGGAGGAAATACGTATCCTCCAAAACTCCCCATATATATTTCTTTTTGCTATTTTATATAGAAATCTTAATGCACATCAAATAAGTTTAATTTTATTTTTTTGTTAATTGAGATTATAAGCAACTCTTGACGTCAGTTGAACCAATCCCGATAAAGTAATGTCATTATAGTATTGGATTTTCACACATTCGTATGTGTTCCGTTAATAATAATAGCCATTAAATGTTTGGGTGTTTAAGAAGAGATCATCCCCGTACGTGAGCATCATCCATTCGTCGTCACCCTAAAATAACTTTCAACGTTTTATATTTTTGATTGTTAAATTAAGTTCAACGTTGTTTAATAGGAGGATTATTATTATTATTATTCAAAGCTCTAATTGGGTCTGTTCTTAAATGCATACACCTTCCTATTTCCTAAAAAAGCCAATTATTTATTACTTGTATCTCACCACATAATTTTTATTTTTTATTTTTATACTTTGGCCAAGATTTTAATGACTTTTCCAAAATGTTGACACTAATTGACAGGAGAAATAACGTCGGTATTAAACAAATTAGGAAGTGTTTACTGGAGTACAGTAATATGTTTTCCAAAGACATTGAGAAACTCTGAAACAGCAACGAACAATATAATAATTGTTTTTTTTCTTATATAAAACAATCTCAAAAATTCCTTCCAATTGATTTTTACTTTAATGTGCGTAATGAATTAGTATTACAGCATAAGTAGTCATTATTCAATTAATCACGGATGGAAAAAAAGAAGAAGAATGAAGAAGTCATATTAATGACCCTAAATTGAAGTCGGAAGAAGAAGTAAGTAGAAGGGAAGGGAGGTTTGAAAAGTAATTAATGGAGCAATTTAATGCATGCGACTCTCACTTTCTCTCTCAATGTCGCATTTAAAACGCTTTTGGCTCTTTCTCCTATACTTCCTCTCCTCCATTCCCTCTTGCGCACTATACCCCCCATCCATTGCTACAAAGATTATATCTTCTGTAATTATTATGACTCTGTTTTCGGATTATACATATACATGAGTATATTTCGAGAGACTTGATAGATTTGAATACTAGCAATTATTAAACTTGTAATTCAGGATCATCTAGTATAATAACTAATCAGACGCACTATTACTATTATTATTATTATACATTAGTATTGATGTGAGATTAAATAGTGCAATCTATAAATGTGAGAAAAAGATGGTAAGGAGGCATGAGAAGAAAACGAATAGTGAGAAAACGTGTAGTGCGTGAACTATGGGAAAACAAGAGATTATTAGAGGAGAGATCAACAAACAACACTCCCAACATTAAATGCTCAAAAAAATGCTACTAGTCGATAATGAATGGTACAACGATAAAAAAACAAAAAAAAATGTAACACCCTCCTCATTAATTACTGAGTAAGTAATTCTAGTTTCGTATTACTAGAAAGCCTTAATTTTGAAAACGAACATAATTGATAAATTGATAATACTCGTATACAGGTTGACAAAAAAAGAAAGAAAGAAGAAGTAAAATACAGTATTTAATACGGCTTTGGAGTAATTAAGTAATCAATTGAGCTTTTTTTGTTTTAAAATTACTATAACGTGCCGCATTTATTAATATTTAGAAAATAAATAAAAATCCAGCCCTTAAATATTGGATCCTTCTATATAATTCTCTCTCTGCGTTTTACAGTTTACACCACCCCCCACACACACACACACATTACTCTCTCTCTCTCTCTCTCTCAGAGATTCCTGATATGGCTGCTGACGTCAGCTCTCTCGTACGGTTACTTAGCGGTTACAAAGATGAACGTGCGGTGGTGAAAGACTCTGCCGGTGCTAAGTCTACGGCGGCGCTCATGACTCGCGACCTCCTTGGAAGCGGGAGAGGTGGAGGAGGCGATCGTTCACTTGAGCTTGACCTCGACCTCCAAGTCCCCTCCGGCTATGAAAAACGCCTCGATTTGAAGGTTCCTCTCTTAATTATTGGTTTTTCGAGATAAATCCAAGGGATAGTCTTTTTGTTTATTTATTTAGAATAAGCTCTGTGATTTTGGTTTGGGGGCTGATTAATTATTAATTAGATCGTTGTTTTTTTTGGTGGATATAGTCAGGGAAAGTGTATTTGCAACGATGCAATTCAACGAGCTCATCGACCATAACAAACGCAGATCAATCCAATCAAACAGTTCCGACGTTTCAGGATTTGAATTTCCCACCGAATTCGAGTAATAATCATGCGGCGGCCAAGCCTTTGTTAAACCTCTTCGACGACACGACGCTTGAACTGAAGCTACTCCCGTCGCCGGCTCGTTGTTCCCGTCGTACGTCGTCGTTGTCTCCCAACACTAATAATAGTAATTTCCAGAGCGTCTGCACGCTGGACAAGGTGAAATCAGCTCTCGAGAGAGCGGAGAGAGATCCGGCTATGTTCAAGAAACGCCAGTCCCCGGACCATACGGTTTCTGATCATTATAGGGCGGAGGCGGATGCGGTTGCGTCGCCGGTGGCGGCCGGATGTCCTGGTTGTTTGTCGTATGTGTTAGTGATGATGAACAACCCGAAATGTCCGAGGTGTGACACCATTGTTCCTTTGGCTGCAAGCTCTATGAAGAAGAAGCCTAAGATTGATCTCAACATTTCAATCTAAAAACTTTTTTTCGTTTTTGTTTGGGGTTGTAAATGATAGATTAAAAAAGTGCAGGGGTAAACCCAAAAAAGAAAAAATATGATTATTTGATGGGGGAAAGATATGATGATATTTTTTTGTAAATGCGTTTAGTTGAACATCAACAGGTAGACTTATTTAGAAAACAAAAAGCAGAGAAAAGAAGAAGATGGGATTCACGGAATAAATGATTTAATTGTATTACGACAATTAATGCTAGAAATTTAATTCTTATTTACTTACGTTTGAATATTATGGTTTGGTTAGTTGGATGGTAGTTTGAATTCATTGTATTTGTTCATCTAAATGCAATTTTGTCCTTTTTATTGAAACAAAACAAAAAACAATTTTTAATATTTTGTATTTTTTTGACAATTTTGTAAATATACTATGAGGTTTCTTTTATAAAAATTCAACTATTGGACTATATATAGAGGGGGTTGTATCCAAATGACTCTTTATGTGAGTGTTTATGAATTTCCTAAAATTGATAAACGAAATGAAAAAGTGGGTTTGCAATCTGCATGCATGTCAATGAATGATATAATGCCTTCTACAAACAAGTTTTTCAACCTATTAAAAGAGAACCTACTATTTGTATTTAATGGGACAACTGCTCAAATCTTTTTTCTTTGGAAGGATTTAATCTCAAATTTTTTTTTTTGTGTGTGTGGTTAAGTACTGACTGTACTGTACGAGATATTTTTTAATTAGATCATAACTAAAAGTTATGGAGCTGACCTAATTAAAATTAAAGTGCATATGCCAACAGTACACACGTATGTATATTCACATTTATAGATGTAACTACACTGCAACGAACGTAATAAATCGTAGACTTACTGGAAAGATATGTTTTTATATCAATGACGTAAAAGTAAAAATTATAAAATGCAATATGTATATCAACTTCTCCGAAACAGTGTACTCTACGGCCGACGACGAGTAGATGAGTTAGATTTTATGATATATACTACCAATGGGTAGGACCAGAAATAATAATATTCCGATAGCTAGTATAGTTTTTTTTTTTTTTTTTTTTTTTTCCATTTAACATATATTGTGTGTGTGGCCTTTACACATAATAATATGGTTTTGATATTCGTCTTTATCCAAAACTAAAAGTTAGCGTATACTTTTGCTCTTTTTTTTTTTGTTTCTGTACAGCTACAGTCACGAAATTAGGTAAACGTTCTAATAATTTAAATATATATATAGGTGTCATATTCACCGGACTTAATATATATAATTTAATGTAGGTTTTCTTTTGTTTGTTTTGGGGGTAGAATTTTCGGCTATATACATTACAAGGGATAGAAAGAAATAAAATTGGAGAAAGACATCGTCATAGAAGAAACGAAAATTGAATTAATGGGATCGTGACATCTAATAAATTGTAATTAATGCTCCCTGCTACATTTATGAACTTTGGAGTCATTTCCTTCACGAAAACATTTTTAAAGTCCACGTGTTCCTCTTTTTTTGCCTTCTCCATTAATTCGCATATTGTATCGTCTGAATTTGTGTTCCTCTTTTTTTTTCTTCATAGTTAGTTTCATTCATGTGACTATAATATATCCGTACGGAAATATGTAAAAAATAAAAATTCAATATTTTATATCCATGTTTTTTTATATTTTGATTGTTGAATATTATTGTAATTTTTGTTTTCTGAACGAAATCGTTTGAAATTAATCCACAGATGGAATATTTTGGGCCAACATAAACTTATTACAGTAAAACCTCTATAAATTAATACTCGATAAATTAATAATCTCTATAAATTAATAAATTTCTCCGGTCCCAAGTTGGGACTATTATAATTTTAGACATATTTCGATAAAATAATAAGATAATAATTTTTTTGAAAATCCTTTGTAAATATATGGTCCCAACAATATTATAAATTAATAATTAGGTAAATTTTTCAAAATATATGCATATATAGACACATTAGTTTTTGTTAGAGTTTATTTCTAGTATTTTACTATATCAAAAATAGTTAGCATTCTCTTTCAAGGCATAATAATTATTATTTTATTTGTAATTGATTATATAAAATACTAATTCTCATGATTAAATCTTATTTTAATTATTTTTTTGAAAAAACTTTCCAAATTAGGAAAATCTCTTTATAAATTAATAATTTATCGATAAATTAAAACCTATATAAATTAATAGATTTTCATGGTCCCAACATTATTAATTTATAGAGGTTTTACTGTAGTATTATCTACTAACGGGCTTAAGCCCATGCCGAGGATGCTGTTTCCAAAAATTATTTCAATCAACTTCACAAAACCCTAAACCCTAATTGTTCGATTCTGTGCGGACAGACAGTTATCATTATTTCAGTTGTTAGTTCTCCGAACTCCGAAGCAGCGGTGGGGATAATGGGGAAAAGTAGGCGTAAGCAGAAGGTTATACCTCCACCTCAGCTTCCGCCGGATGTACCGGAAGAGGATATCGAGTTTTCCGACGAGGATTTGAAATACGTCCAAGAGAACACTCAATACGCCCGATTCGTTTCTCGCCTTGACACCGCCGCTATCAATAAGTAAGTTGCTTGAGACTCTTTTGTGCCTTTTCGAAGATTCGGATTCTGTTGTATTTTTGGGTAATTTTGAGCATTAGGATTGAGTTAGTGGTTTTTATCATCTGAATATGTGTATTGATAGTATCTTGTTACCCTTTTGGTAGGCAATGCGGTGGTACAGTAAAGACAGTGGAGGACAAATACGAAGAAGAACGATCAAAGAAGAAGACTCATCAGGAAGAGAAAGGGAATGGCGAGATTCTCGTGGATCCTGTTGATGTTCTCCCTATCAAGACTTTAGATGGAAAACTCCATTATAGGACTGGTACTTAACGAAAACTACGCTTTTCCTTTTTGTTAAATGGCTCCATTTTACCATTCTTACTGATGTTTGGCTACTGCTTGTTTATTCATATGGTTCAGAGGCTAAGAAGTCAAAACTAGCTGAAGCCATTACCGATGAAGCAGAGACGGATGTTCTCGAAGATGAAAATATTTTGAACAAATCTCAAAGGAGGGCAAAAGCTAAAAAGAGTAAAAAGGAGGCAAAGAAACAAGACAAGGAATTGCCTAATCAGATTGCAAAAGAGGAAGAAACTCCCCAAGCCGCAGTTCTGGTAATGCCTTTTTTGAGTTCCCTCAAAATATTTCGTAATAACTTTTGGAGTTAATCATTCTGGACATTGTGTATTTTGTAATTTGGAGCATTGAAGTGTATTCTATATTCATTCTTCATTTTTTTTAACCTGTTAATGATTTTCTTCCTTCATCAGGCAGAAGTGAAAGAAGAACTATCTGTTCAAGAGACACTTGAAAATAAACAAAATAAACTCGCGGAATTAGGAACGCTACTACTTTCTGATCCTGAGGCAAACATAAAATCTTTAAAGGAAATTTTAGATCTCTGCAAGGATGAGAATACGAAGATAGTGAAACTTGGCTTGTTATCTCTGTTGGCCGTATTTAAAGATATTATTCCTGGGTAATCTTATATTTCTTCTATGTTCCTCGTTTTAGTTGTTAATCCTTCTCTTCTCTCCCCCTTGATGATGTTGGTATTTAGCTCTTCTTATTTTTTTGTGGTGCCAGCTATCGGATCAGACTTCCTACAGAAAAGGAGAACGAGATGAAGGTCTCAAAGGAAGTGAAGAAAACCCGGCTTTATGAGTCAAATTTATTAAAAGCATACAAGGTGTGCGTCATCTCTATGATATTTGACTATTGATTTCTCTGAGTATTATTAATAAACATTTCCTTTGCTGCTGACGTCCTTGACAGGCATATCTGCAGAAGTTAATTATATTAGAAAAGCTGCCTGTATATAACCAAATTGCAACACGGTGTATTTGTACATTGCTGGACGCAGTTCCTCACTTCAACTACCGTGATAACCTGTTAATTGCTGTTGTCGGAAATATCAGCTCCCCAGATGAAGTCGTAAGGTCTGGTTATGTAAACCCTTTTTCAGAGTGACAAATTATGTTCAACTGATGTACCATGGAATCTATTTGATAGTAGAATTGTTAATATCTCTTTTTTCAGAGTCATGGTATTGTACTGCAAGTCTGCAAAAGTATCCGTTTTGTTTCTATCTAAACTTTGTTTTGCCTGTTTGTGTATGCAGGAGACTCTGTTGCTCTACTGTCAGGTCACTTTTCTCAAATGAAGGGAAACATGGTGGTGAGCTGACCGTGCAAGCTGTACGCTTGATTGCTGCTCATGTCAAAGCTCACAACTGCCAACTTCATCCTAATTCTATTGAGGTATTGATTGTCTAATTGCAACATTCTAAGAACCACACATTTATGCACCACATCACTTAGTAAAAGTATTAGAATTGCTCATGATGGAAAAACTAGATCATGAAGTTCATATTTTCATTTTTGTAAGAGTAATACAAGGTGCTTAATAACTTGCTTCCATTTTTATGTCTGTCCTTAGGTGTTCATGTCCATTCGTTTTGACGAGGATATTGGGAAGCCTAACAAAGAGGATGAACATAATAAGAAATATAAGAAAAATAATAAAAGAAAAAACCAGGAGGAAGAAAATCAAGTGCAGGAAAATGAGAGGAAGAAGTCAAAGAAAGAAATGATGTCTAAGATCAGAGACGAAGTAATTTACTTTCCTTCTGTGTAATGGTTTTGTTGATGGGAAAGTTTATGCTTTAATCTTGTTTTCCATTGCATTGACAACCATTTATATGACCATAACATCTAGATTTGGTCCTGTCTGCGCTATTGGTTTGCTATAAAAATTAATTTTTTTTTATGACTTTGTTCTTAGGTTACTGCTGATTACAAAGGAGTTACCTATGAACCAGATGCTAAGGAGCGGCGTAAGATGCAGACGGAGACACTTTCTGCTGTTTTTGAGACCTATTTCCGTGTCTTGAGAAACACAATGTACACAATTGGCGAAAGGTATTTTTCATAGTTTGTTAAAGTTAATGAAAATTGTGTTTTCCAGTTGTCGTGAATAGGAACTAAATAAAACTTATGTTCTAATCAAATTCCAAAAATATCAGTAAATTCTTAGTGTGAACTCTTGTTGGCTTTACAGTCACAAATAAATTCGTTAAGTTCTTTTTCACAACATAATTTCGGCTCATTGCAGCACAGAAGAAAACCCAATTTCAAATCAAGGGTCCTTTGGAGCACACCCTTTGCTAGCTCCATGCTTGGATGGGTTGGCAAAATTCACCCAACAATTGGACTTGGATTACATTGGTGATCTCATGAACTATCTAAAGAAGCTTGCTTCTAGCAGTAGCGTCTCCAACAACTCAAAGCAGAAAAACTCAAAACTATTGACAGTATCTGAACGTCTTAGGTGTTGCCTTGTCGCCTTCAAAGTCATGAGGAGCAACTTAAATGCCTTGAATGTTGACTTGCAAGACTTTTTTGTCCAGCTCTACAACCTGATTCTTGAGTATCGCCCTGGAAGGTTTGTAATAACTTTTTCCTCTTTTTATCACAACATAAGTCAGTTTAGTCTATAACATTTTGTGATGTTAAACAGGGATTCAGGTGTAGTGTTGGCTGAGTCTCTGAAGATAATGTTGTGTGACGACAGACATCAAGACATGCAGAAAGCAGCAGCTTTTGTGAAACGTTTAGCCACGTTCGCACTTTGCTTTGGATGTGCTGAGTCTATGTCTGGTAATAAGCATTACAAAACTCTCTGAATTACACATCACTTGTCCTTATCTTATATACTATCTCAGTCTTAAAACTTTTGTTCTCTTATAGCGCTTGTCACCTTGAAAAATCTGCTTCAGAAGAACGTGAAATGCAGAAACCTTCTTGAGAACGATGCTGGAGGCGGCTCTGTTTCTGGTTCAATTGCAGTAAGTCGGAAATTTTAACCCTCTTTTTTGTGGATTTAATTTTGGGGAAATAATTGCATTGCTTAGGGAAATCTCGATTGCAGAAATATCAGCCATATGCAACAGATCCTAACCTAAGTGGGGCTTTAGCAACAGTGCTTTGGGAACTCAGTCTCTTGAGCAAACATTATCATCCAGCGATCTCAACAATGGCGACAACAATCTCCAACATGAACACTTCTCAAAGCCAAACTTTTCTATCAGCAGTGACTCCACAACAGGCTTTTGCGGATTTTTCTCTTGTAAAAGAATCGTTTGAACCCAAGGATGAGTCTCGGAAATTGAACATCAAGCGGAAACGAGATAGTTTGGCTGAAGGAGCTAAGAGTGTTCCAGAAATCGACATGGAAAAGCTGAGCAAGAAATTGAAAGAGAACTTTACTATTCTTCAAGATATAAAAGAAGACGAGAGAGTGAGAATGGAGTTGCAGTCGTAGAAGAAAAAACCATTGAAGGAACAGAAGAGCGTAGTGAAGAAGAAACTTAAGAACCTTAAACCAAAAAAGAAAAATTGAAAAGGCTATTTGATTTCCCCCTTTAACGTTTATATACATTGCTTAACATTTAAAACGCAGCATCAGTTGAAGTTGTTAAATCTAGTTTTGAGTACACTGTTTTTTGTTTGAGTGGCAATTTTTTTGTCTAACGAAAAGAAGAAGCATTTTTAATTCAAATCCACCTTTTTAATCCTACTAAAATAGTTGTGTATATTTTCAGGTTTATTTATCGGAACTCTTTTGAAGTCGTACCAACATGGCAACATCGTATGTATATAAGAAAAGGTGGATAAAAAAAAAACAAAAAAACAGAACATAAGATATATACTACATGTAAAAAAACAAAAAAAACAGAACATAAGATATATACTACTTATATACTACATGTGCCTTGGAGTCAAAAGATACGCAAGATCATCCTCTTATCCACTCACAATTCGCCACAAACTGTGTATTCAAACTAATCACTAATATATGTTTGTAAATTGTAAGCTGTGCGCAGCAAATTGTTCCCCACAAAAAGTCCAGCCGTACAAACGGTACAGTGAGACATATTTGGTTCGATACCACACTTTTTTCTCAAAAAGAATATCACTTTTTTCTCTCTCTGTTAGTTACATAGGATTTTGGTACATATATATATTTCTGTAAAGAATTGTAATTTTCATAGTGGATTTAAGTCCACGCAATATTGCGTCACATTGTTTTAACAATTTAATGGATAAAATGTTAGGTGTTGAGACGATATCAACAAATTAATTCATTAACTTAAAAATGATTAGAAAATTATCATTATATACTTACTAGTTGATGATGAATAATAATAATCCGTACGGTACGTGAAAGATAATTTGCAATTTGTCACTTCAATTGTTGTTTTTATATCATATTATTAAAATTGATAATCTGGAAATGAACCCGAAATAAAAAACAAACAATTCACATTTTCAATCTATCAAATAAAAATATTCTCCGACCAATCAAATAAAAAAAAGGAGAAGATCGAAGAAACATAGAAGAGAAACGGAACACAAGTCTATTACTCTGTACAAAAATCTTCACCAGTCAGAGACGCCAGGAGCTCCAACGTATCAGCGACACCAGATCGGAGAGACTCCACAACTTGCTCGAACACGAAGACGTTACAAGGGATATGAAGAACTCCTTTCTGTGCGTATCCGTATTCCTGAGCTGATCGATTCAGCAACCTTACGAACACAGGGTGGTTCAGCAGCTCCGCGCTCACGATGTACCGCTCCATCTTCTCTCCCACGTTCACCGGGACGTGGCCCGATGGTACACTCGACGCGACGGTTGCTCTCTTTACCAAGAAAGTGGACGTCGGGTGATCGATGTCGCCGCTGCGAACTCGGTTGCAGGAGGATGAGTCGGCTATTCGCGACAGACGGCGAATCAGAGGCTTCATCTTTGATTCTTGACACACTGACTTTTTTTTTTTTTTCTGTAGAGAAAAGAGAGATGGAGAGGAATGCGACATTGGTAATATATATACAGTATATGGGAGTTGTGTACATTTAAGTATTTTCATTTGACATGAAACAAATGTATTTACTTTATTTTCATTCCTAATATATGTGTTAACATGATGAGTCATAGTCAAATTAAACCATTGATAAACTACCTTATTTTGATTATGCAAATTGAGAAATTCTCTAAATTCGGATGTATTTCTAAACATTGGTCAAATTACAAAACAAAAAATGTCCAACAATTTTAAGAAAGTTGGATTGCCAGCTATTAAAGTTGTACATGTATAATTTTATACCTTCCTTTGTATGATAAAATAAAACAGATCGTGTGAATAAAAAAAAGGCGTTGTATTTATTGATCTGTTTTTCACCATGTATACGCAATTTCTCTGATTATTATATCCGCGTGTATTCTTTATTTATCTGGATTAGATCAAATAATAAAATAATAAAGTATAAATTAGCAAAAATACCATATATATTGATAGATGTTTTTTGTTTTGTTTTGCTAAGAGATGTTTTCAACCAGCTTGAGTCATATTAAGTATAAGCAGAAAAATTTAAACGCATAACTATGTTAAAGATTCCGAATATATATACTAGAACAAATAGGTTTTCAAAAAAAAAAAAAAAATAATATATATATATATATATATATATATATAAAGAACAACGTAAGGTAAGT